TAAACTGGAACTTTCAGCCAGGTTTAGATTCTACTTTTCCATATCCTTAATTAACGCCAGGTTTAGTAAGAAATGTATTTATAATTAGGTATTATAGATAGCTAGATAGAGAGATAGATAGATAATGCACTTTAATGCTCATACACAAATAGAATTAATGTGAGCAAGGGCGGCCTTATCTCTGAAAGCGATCTCTCCCAGACAACCTTTGAGGTAGAGGAGAAGTGAACAGAGAGCGAGACGGTGTGTGCCAGTGGTAAAAATTTAAACGCATTATCAAATAAGAAATGACTATAATATTATATTATACCTACAAATATATTTATTTACATATATGAATACACTTAAATAAACTTCTACTGACCATTAAATATCAGACTCAGTTCAGACTAAGGTCGAGCCAAAAGATGCATAGGCAATCCAGCTTCAAATATAGGAAGCAATTTAGAATGTCGGATTTCAGAAGGGAGTTTGTTACATAGCTGTGTAAAAATTATAAAATCGAATCATGCGAGTAAATTTTTGTGTGTTTTTATGATACCAAATGAGTGACGGCACGAACAAGTCGCGCCCTTGGTGGTAAGCAACACGCCTACCCTTAACAGTTGCAATGCCACTCAGAGCTTTAAATCACAAAGATCTGAGGGGCACTGCCACTGCGCCTGTCACCCTGTGACATAAATTGATAATATAGGCCTGTAATTTTACCAGCAGATAAAGAGAGTATTATTCATAAATATTATTTCTTTTTTATCTCTCTATCTTTATTATCTTCTTTTGTTTACGTTTTGTTTGTGGATTTCAATTACTATATTATGATCATGGACGATAACGTAAATAATTATGTAAAATATTTATTGTTTAGTGATTTTGAAACAAATATAAATTGCAAAATGCTTCCACTGATTTACATCGTCTTAATATTGCCGACCTCTCTTTCTTTTAAATATGGGTGACTTTTATATCACTGACACTGTAAAATTCTCCGCAATTTTGCTAAGCTATAGTGTACCGGGTTCGATTTCTTAGTTTTATTTTCCTTATGAGGGTAGAAAACCAAACAACGAAATCCGAGAATTGAATTAATTATAATAAAAGAAAACAATACTAATTTAAAAATTAAATTTTGGAAAAAAAAATTGTAAAGGAGGGAGGTTCTTTCTTCCGTTGGATGAGGTTACCAAAACAAGCCAAGTGAAACTCCAAGTGGTTCAGAAGATTTTTATTTTCACCTTGTGTGTCGCCAATACAATTTCACCCTATATGCGGAAGGTCCGGGCAGTTGTTCCCAAGAAGGGACTCGCTCCTGGAAACCGTTCCGTGAGATGAGATTTTTCACCCTATATGATGGGCATTAATCTTTCACCCTACATGAGCGTACGAAATATCAGAAGATCCGCAGTTCCCAAGAAGGAACTCAACTCCTGGTCGTCTTACTGAGCTCTCTGTATTCTCAAATTTCTTTTCACATTAACACAATTGTGTGCGAGTAGTCACCATTCGAGGGCAAATCTTAACACCGCGATTCAGAAATAATGCCAAATGGCTCAATGCCATCTAGCGGATTCTTAGAGTACTAAAGGTGAACAATCTGGCTTAAGGCCGTCTATTACATAAAGTAGGTTTGTTACAGTACTTAAAATTATATTTTATTTTACGGGGCGTGGTAACGGGCGTTAAGACCTTTGGTTTTTTTTTCGCTTCCGAGTACAGTACTCGGAAGCGAAAAAAGGCCATAGGACGCTCGGCAATTGGTAGCCGTTAGAAAAGTAGCGGGAATGCTTCGTCCTAGTCAGGACGTAGTCAAGCTCCAGGTAGTGTAGCAAGTGTTGTACTTTTGAATACACGTAACGGTTTTTTATATCGTGAGCGCGGCCAAGCCGACCGTGGACTAGCTCTGAAGACGTTCTGACGTAATCTGTGAGAACGGGAGCCGCCGGTGCCGGTTTCGGTTTAACGCGCCTCCCCTCTCTGCGTCTCCGACATCATTCGAAAATGCAACGTGAGCTGCCATAGATTTAAGAAATTTTGTCTATCAAAGTAAATCATAGTTTTATTATTTTATAATCAATTATTATTTAAAAATAGGATATATTTGTTGAAGACAATATTTGTATTAAATTTTTAATAGTGTTAAATTTGAAAAACGATTTATTCTGAAATGAATTTAACAGCGTTGTAACGTTCCGTTACAATAGTTCTTATCACACGCCAATATCTATAATGTACTCTGTATTCGTTATTAATGTATTGAGACGAATAAACGATTTATTTACTTTATGATTTGAATGCTATTGAATTGCAGAGATCATAACCCTCCACTATTGCTATGATCCTGATATGAATTTTCGCCATATCAATGTTTTCATTCACGCTCATTGGTGTACTCTATATTTTTTTAATAATAATAATAATAATGTATATTATGTATATTCATGAAGCTATAGTCAGTGCGAGCGTGAAGTGTGTATATTAAATTACAAAAACTAAATACTAGATATAAATTTGCTTTAACGGTCAATTTGTCAAATTTAAAGCCCCGTTTGTAAAAAAAGCCCGCGCCCAACACGTTTACTAGATGACCTAACCAACCCGAAAGCCATTGTCGTCCCAAAACATAACCATCTCGTCTAACAACAATGTTAACTATTTACGGTGTCACAAAAATCACTTTAACTAACAGGAGTACACGGTAACCCTGCCGTTAAACAGAACAAGCCTATTGAATTATACTGAACTCATTATCGATGCTTTGCGATAGGGATGTGTCGAGTATCGTTGACTGAAAAGAACGGAATGATCGATGTTTTACAATCGTTTTTTTATATGTATATTACGCGATAACTCCGGTATTTGTGAACCGATTTTGATGATTTTTTTTTTGTTGGAAAGAGGGTACCTCCTTAAATGTCCCATATAATTTTGAAGAAAATCATCCACCTCTAATGGTGGCTGTTCACGCATGAAGATTCATTTTTATAAATAGCGCCTAAATTTTATTTTATGGCGCAATTATTTTAATGGTTGGTTTTGCTATTCTCCAATTTAAGGCGTTTTCTCTCTCAATATACTTTGAGAAGTGAGAACCGATTTTTATTATCTCCTATGTCAAATCCCCTATAGTAGCGCACTAGGGGATGAATCTGGGTTTGCGCACTTTCTAGTAACCGATTTCAATAAAACTTGATAATTATATGTAATTCCACGTACTTTTGAAGTCGGTCTTTTTAGTACTCTGTTTTGAGAGTATATCTATTTTTATTGAATTTCATGATGTTTTAACAACCATAATATTCATGTATTTTTCGAGAAAATACTTCACAAGTTTGATATTCTTATTCCTATTTATTTATTATTACTGCCTAAGTGAAGAAACTTTCATAAGTACTCACAGATGACGCTACGCAAAAAAAGCCGTTAAAATTTGACGACCTCAGTGGCCGAATTTCATCGCGTTCACCCCGTGCGGCCGCCGCGCGGTCGTCGAGCGGAGCGCGCGCGTCTAGCTGTCATGGCAAAATACGCTCTACTCGTTTAGCATTTACGTTTTAATTTAAATGAGCGTCCCGGGCACGCGGGCGACAATGGCTTGAATTTGGTCTACGCGGCAGCCGCGCGGTTGTATTATTCAGAGGCATTTAAATCTTGTTGCCAAGTAAATAGAACTCAAATTCGCCATTAATGTACATGAAGACGTGTTAACTCGCGCGGCGGTCGCGCGGTATCTTTTGCCTTGCGTAACTGGGCGCTAACGGTTTACATTGTGGGTGCTGGATGTGGGGGTGGAGGTCCCGGGTTAGATTCCCGGTAGGACTAATTTAAGAAATGAACTCCATTAATTTGGTTCTGTTCTGGGTGTTCTGGAAAGTGCCCTAGAATTCCGTATACTCATCTAGAAAAAAGTACAAAGATCCGCAACAAGAACTTGGAGGAATTTGTAAGATCTACATGATCGACTTGATTGGTAGCTAAGTTGGTAAGGGCTGTAGCCACGTTGAGACAATAGACACGGGTTTGACTCCAGTCGGAAAAAAGGAATTTTTCTTATGATTTTTGTTTTATCGTTCACAATAAATATGATTCTTACACTAAATTAATGCGGCCGAGATTTGTCCCGTGCGCGCGTGATTTCTTACTTTTGATTTACCAATCACATTGATTTAGAATCAATGCCTTGTTCAAAAATTAAACAAGTATTGTATAGTTTTGTTTTGTCATACGTTTTGTGTAGCTAGGTTAGCGCAACTTACTTTATACGTAGGAAATGAAACTTCTTAAAATTCATAATTATGTTTTGATATCAAAATACTGCATAAATAAGAGTACCATTCTCACTATAAAAATCATTTATTACAAAAATTCGAGTGACGATGATTTTTATACGCCAAATAACATCGATATTATCTTACCAACAGTAAACAGACTAGACTCTATCGTTGATAATCGAATTTCGGACAACACTGCACACAAATTCACCATTATCATTTCGATCAGCAAAATGAGAAGGGTAAATTGGGCGAGAATTTTTCCCTTCACTTGTTACCCTTGTGGTGCGTTTGGGTATTTAATTGGAGGAACGATCTATAGAATGGCAATGAAGAAGCCGATTTTAATTTTATCCCTAACCATCAATTATTCAGATAGGATAGTATTTAATTTGGTTGGTTTTTTGCAAAGTTACTTACAAAATTAGAACTTTAAGACATAATACTGACATAAGTGTTTAGTATATCGAATAACAGTTATAGACTGTTGCACTTTTGAAATTTATGATAATAAATTGAAATTGATGATAATGTCTATAAAACTTTGAGCCGTATCGGCCCTGACCGCAGTCCAAATAATAAGAAGCAAAAAAACACAGGAGACTTAACTTAATCATGTCTCAGCCCAAAACAGCTATTCATTATTTAAAATGTTAATATTATGAATAGACTCTGTAGTGTTTATCATAAACCAAATATTAGCACTGTTTTTCAAATTAATTGTTTTGTCAACAGTGCCACCAAGCAAAATGGTGATAACAAACGAGACGGAAGACCAGAAGACAGTATTCGTCGGCCCTTACGTCGAGGGCCAGACATTCACGTTGAAGTGCGACGTTACGGGAGGTGAGTAACTTCAGATTCAACAAATGACGAATGAAAATAATCTCAATATAAATATTTACCTGTTATGAGGTTATATTTCTGATCCACGTAAATAACATTTTTTGATGACAAAAGTGGAGGCACAAACTCTGAGCGATTCTATCACGCCCCTGGTTTTACTCAAGTTTATATAAACTACAAGCACTATGGGTCCTAGAAGAGACCCCTGAGCGACACAGTCATATTATTGAATTTTATATTCAGTTGCTTTCCTTTGATCTTCCATTGAACAAAGTCGATGAGGTCAAACAAGAAAATCCACGCAAACTAAACACGTTAGAAACTTGAAAAATACTATTCGGAATGGAGCATAGCTTTTAAAATGCGTTCATACATACAACGTCACGTCTTCTTACGATAAGACTGCCTGAGACCCTTTTTTAACCTTTTTTGAGCTCAACAAAATGTATTTCTTTTAGTTTTTTGCCGTCGGTATCGATGTAGCATACCTTATTTTAAGACAAAAAATGAAAACCCTTTCACTTATTGTTCGTGTTAAAACCAAATACCGAAAACTTTCTCCATCCCTTTCGTATTTTATATTCACGATGGTAAGTCCAAATTATACAGAGTGAGGGAAATTAATTAATTTTCAACGAGATGAATTTATTACCATCCCTAAATCGCGTTAGGTCAAGGTCCGCTGCGGAACCACAGACGGAAAACTAAAGTGTCCGCAAATTATTTGAATTAGCCTATAAGAACATAAGCATATCAGAGAAAAATCTACGCTGTCCATTTGAACACATGTGTGTTAATTGCGTATTGAGTTTTAAACCTTTAGGCGCCACGGGTTGAAACTAATTTTAAAAGTGCTGCTAAATGATAATGCATCCATGTCTACACCATGCTTCTAAGAAAACAATATGTCTTATTAACGTAACAAAAGACCAAGACCTCCTTGCTAGGTGATAAAGTTCCCTAAATTGTGTGAGAGTACGAACGAATTAATACGACAAAAGAACAATGAAATGGATTAATTATTCAGAGGATATCCTAAATGGGAATGCGGTTGAACTCAGCAAAGTTTATGGCACCTATAAAATGACAAATTGGGATGATGAAATGGGTATTTGTTTTGTATTGGCTGAAACTAATTTGCAAGTATTAGCGGTTGTTTCTGAAAATAATGTTTCACAACTTAACAATGGTAAGCCGATTTTACTTTGACGCCCAAATTTTTTATTGGTAAGGTAAAGGCTTGCATAATATTGAAAAATATATACCGTACTGAATGAGAGTTTCATTATAGGGCATAGTGTTAGAATAACTACATCCACGATGGATTTAGACAATTAAAATTCTGTGAATTTCTCATAATCAGTATATAGCACTTTTTCCTAAAATCGACGAGAAAACTAACTTAAATTAAAGTTAGGTTATTTTTAGCGAGAGCAAGAACTGAAGATACTGCGATGAAGCGGATGAGATTCCTTGAGACTTCCTAACCCAAAGTTACCCGTATATGGGCTATAGGGACTATAGAATTGTTGCTATTGCTAGTAGTGATAAAACAGACAGAAAAGATTCAGAAAATACCACCCATAAAATCATAGTAATAAGTTTCTTTTTAAAACCTTTATAACAAATTAAACGTAGGAACTAAACAAAGATCCACAAATTTTTACAAATACATAAACCCATTCCATGTGTATTATAAAAACCATTCAAAATACTCCTAATTTGCAGGCCGTCCAAGACCTTGGGTGAAATGGTTTAAGGATGAAGTGGAACAAGATACTCCGGCTACCCCCCTCCGAGATAACGGCGTGCGTGGGGTTATCAGAGTAGGCCCCCTGTCGCGAGCCGACGTGAAAACGGCCCTGACTTGTCGGGCCTCGAACCATGTAAAAGTTCGTCCTATTGAAACTACTGTTACAGTAGATATGAATTGTAAGTAATTAACATCTCTTTTAAGAAATAGTAGTAATGATCATGTTGCGCAAATCTCTGATTATAATTTAACAATTTTAAATTAATATGTGATACTACTACGAACAGTTACAGCGGAGTAAGTTGGAGTAGAATAAGTTAGTTGCAGTAAAGCTTCGTGTGAAAAAGTTCCTCCAGGGAAGTACACCTTACCTATTTCTGCCGCCAAGCAAGGGTGTTGGTGAAATTACAGGCACATGGGACTTTTCAACTTGTGTCTCAAAGTACGGCGCAATGGATCTCAGATATTTGAGATTTAAAGCTCTGAGTGGCACTGCAGCTGTTATGGACGGTATGTCGCTTGCCATCGGGCACACGACTTACCCATCCCGTCACTTAGTGTCATAAAGAATAGATATTATAAACATCACACGAGTATTTCAACGCAACAATCATATCGTTCCATATCAAATAACGTGTGAAATTTGTCAAAATTATTTGCTACTGACATTTCATTTCGAATAAAATTTCATCTCGACTGATATTAGAATTGAGGTCGAATCAAATTGTTTTGTTTTTCAGAGATGTTTGAAATTCTAATGTAATAATAAAATCGAATTTGTTGTTATTATTATGCGATAATGACATTTTCACAGATAAGAAATTTGTTCTAACAAAATAGTTTATCTTTATGCTGGTCGTAATTTACGGTTTTTGAACACACCATAGAGAGTTTACGATATGTGTGTAGATAAAAGTGTTAATAGTACATAAATTCACAACGTACCGTTCCATAACGATGAATTAAAAAATATGGCATAAAACTGCTTCTAGTTACTAGCACAGGTTACATCATTGTGTGGCGTCTGGAGGTTGCATGATAATACAAAACATATCATTATTATAATTATGTGCTTTAGATTTTAGTTTCTCCCCAGGCATATGGGATGAATTTGAATTTTTGCAGAGGTGGTATTCCCTGGAATTTCAAAGTCATTATTGTTAATATTAACGACAAAAAGTATTATACTACTAGAGTCGGTCGTACCCTTAGGACATGTAAAGGATGAGAGCCGTTGGTTTGCTTAAAAAACCATTTAGATCCGAAAAAAAAATTTGTAACAAAACTGTAGTTATTTGTGTCTGTTTTAAGATTTAAATACGCACCTGTACATTCAATTATAAACTGTCTGATGATGTATCATATAACTGTCAATACAGTCGTTGGTTTGTTTAAAAAACCATTTAGATCCGAAAAAAAAATTTGTAACAAAACTGTAGTTATTTGTGTCTGTTTTAAGATTTAAATACGCATCTGTACAGTCAATTATAAACAGTCTGATGATGTATCATATAACTGTCAATACAGTTGATGGTTTACTGAATTATTAATGCAACACATAATGAAATTTTCCTTTGAAAATCAAATTTAATTTGTGCGGCATAGGCGTTACAATTCATTTTCATTGCAGGCTATTTACGGACGGCAGCCTATTATTAAGATACATATTGGCTGACCGTATTTCGTTGCTTCGATTTTCAAACAAAAGTGTATAGCTTGATGTGCTGTTGGCTGTACGTATCTGTTTGTTATATTAACATTACGTTTTTGTTTTCCGCAGTTCCACCCTTAACAGTTCACATTTTGGGTTCGAACCAGCCCATATCAGCAAGCAGGAGATACGATCTTCTGTGTCAGAGCTCAGGGTCCAGACCTCCAGCCACCATCACCTGGTGGAAGAATGGGGAACGGATAAACAGTACTAGAGAGACGGTGAGTAAATTCAAGCTTCGACTACTAATTGGCCATGAAATATGTAGATTAAAAGTGAGGTACGAACACTTGTTCGCAATACTGAAGTGAAATATTTAACTTAAATACTTAACCTACAATTGCTTAAGAAAAAGAAGAAAAATTGAAAAACTAATGATACTCATAATATTGGTAAGTGAGACTATAAACACGCCTTCAAAATTTGATTCGCTAATGTGGATTTTAAATTTCCGTAAAGAAGAGTCAGTATTTAAATTTCACTAAATTTGACATCATAATACAAAGTATAATAATCCCATCACAGTTTACCAACTCCTTGTCCCCAAAAACTTTTTAAAACCTAAATAATAATATCTGCCTGTTCAGTACTTCGATACATAACCCAAAAAGTTAGCTGGCATTCACATGGCGCTCTGGTTTTACTTTGTATAAGAATCCATGAATTCATTTTTTTTAGATAATTCAGCAAAAATCTACAAAACAAGTTTATTCCAAACAGTTCTTTTCAAATGCTAGAGCAGTTCCAGTATTCATTGAAACAGCAAAAGTTTTACAAATATATTACGAAACTTCATTCCAAAAATATTGCCTCCTGACAACGTAAATCCATTACACTTTATTGTTACAAACTACCCGAATATTTCAACAAGGAGCTAATTTAGCTACAACTAAATTTATCTATCTATTACAATCTTTATTGCCATAAAAAACAACATCTTGGAGTCAACTTAAAATAGGGGCACGTAAAAGTAATAAATGTAGATTGAATGGGACATCCAGTGCTTGGGGCGTACTCAAATCGGTCGTAAGGGACTGCCAGCCTAAGTTCTAACACTGGTTGTTTGACGTAAGTGACAGGATATTGGGTTTTTGATTTATTTAGTTACTCAATATAAAATTTTATGTAGATACTATTTAAAGTCGTCTCTCAAGGCGTATAACTTGACTTGCAAACGCAGACGCCTTGAGTGTCTTGTGTTAGACACAAGCAACCGGTAACTAGTAATGAATAATTTACTTTCGTACAATCAATATGAAATGGTCCACTATATGCCCAAACGCAGTTGCTTCCACTTGACACATATCGTTGTCGTTACCAGCAATCACGGTTTCCTGTGACGATGTCCTTATCGGTAGCCAATAGTGTTTACGTTTGCACAACGCCTTAGTGTTCAGTAAATTGTGTTCTGGTCATTTACTTCCACTAACCGTATTACCTATAGAATGCCTTCTCTATTTTTGTAACTTAATAAATAGCTAAAATGAACAACTTATTTCACTGGATTCTTAGGCTTTCGCGATTGCTACACATTGGAAATAAAACTATTTATTTCGGACATTAATCGCATATATTTGTGTTCAAACGACTGACTCAGTCAGCCGTTACCATGGAACCTGTTAAGAGCCTGAAACGTTTGATCTTTGAAAAAACAAATATACGCGATTTAAATCCGGAAAAATAGTTTCATTTCCTAAAGGTTTCATAAATTAATTAGCTCTAAACATACTAGGAGCACTAGATGCAATAGAAACATTACTAATATGAAAAAATTTGCGACTGAAAACTGAAAATGTATTAAATGCTATCCTTGACGGATACCACCACCACGCTATGTAAATATCAATTTCATATAAACTATAAACAGTAAAGGGTCCAGAAGAGACCCCTGAGTGATACCAGATAAAGTCACATGAATAAATTGTCACAATTTGAGCTTAGTCGAGTTTGTCAAATAATGTTATCCTCGGATTAAGACAGTGTGACTTGTGAAACTCTCCAAAATGTGTTAAGTTAATCCCTGCCAGTAATCTTCCTTACATTATTATATTTAAAGCTTGGTAAGGTTTCATATTCCTTTAGTTGTTTATAATGTTTTGCACCTTCGCAGGCAGGTAGTTTATTAGATAGATATATGTATTGAGCTATCTTTCCATTTTATTTGCTATTTGTTTTAGCTTTTGGTATTTTCTAACTTTAATTAGATATCCAAACCGCTTAACTGGCCCTTTCCTTAGCACTACTTGCTTTTTATAGGAATTGATATAATATGTCCATAAAAATATATAATGCTTTACCTGCAGCAATCGCAGGCTTACCTACAAAAATACTAAAAAAAAGCTATGCGATGTGATCTGTGTTTATATGATACCTAAGATTTTTTTTAAATGAAAAGAAATCGACATTTTATTTGATATTGTTTATTTTATGATTTTATTGTTGTCACTTCATTGGCATTTTCCTTAGAGGTTGGAAGCATTTTCGCTTAATTTTATTTGACAAATTATTATAATTTTAATTTTATGACATTATTTAACTTCAATTTATTTTTAATTTTTGAGTGCCAGTACCTGGTGCAACACGTAGTCATAACACTTTGTGTAATATTTTTGTTACCGTGTTTGCTTGTGAATAAACATATTTCATTTCATTTCTGATTCCAGTAAGCTTGTTATCGTTCGTCTATCTTTTCATGCAAGCTTCATTTGTCTATTAAAAATATTGATTAGTTACTTGGTATAACGGCCTGGTGTCCGCAACTCGACGTCCATGTCTCTATTTTGCGTGTGGTGTTAATTAGTTACTCATGTTTTCTTTTTCGATTACATATATATGCACTTTAGGTTTTCAATCAATTGTTCTTCTTATTGTATCGATGGCATACACCATCTTACTGAAAGGATTGGCCTATCGGCGTAACTTATTTGCCGATTATTGCCCAGGATGCGTCAGACACACAGGAAATGGAATGGTAGGTACACCCCTTTCATTCATTCAGTTCAACGAAATTCAAACCACGTAGTGGGATTTATGTATTTACCATTACAAAAGTACAGTCACCGAATAAATCTTCATATAGTAGAGTAATAAAAGGGAATTTAATACGAACTTTTAACATTTTAACACCACGTTTTCGATACCAAATTAATAACAACCAACCAATCTTCTATCACTTCGGAAATTGCGATGTTCCAAAGAGAAAAAGGCAATAAAAACCACCATAATACTCGTATTGAAAGCCGACTTTAAACAAGTTTTGTTCATTAATGTAGATCAATTTCATAATAGCCAATTGCGTAAAACAATATCCATCTTCAAAACCATTAACCGTAAAGTCATCGTTTCGACGCAAATTCTCTATTCAAAGCTAATTAACGCCTCAATCAACACGGATCAGGACGTGACGTCACTTCACATCTGCTCTTGACATAATAAGGTTCAGCCATTAGAGGCTTGATTGGAATCTAAACAGTAGGTTGTATTTTTAAACTAGATTGATGAACCGCAGTAGTCTTTATAAATCTCTTTGTATTTTACGTAGTGTTTTTTGTTCATTTAGTTTTTAATTGAAATTTTAAAATTCAATTGTACTTGTTGTTTTTGACGCCTTTTCTCTGATTTATAATTGTTTCGTCTGCTTCTAGTGCTCGTGCACAACTCATATCATGATTCTGTTTTAAATAAAAAGTAAATACCTTTTTTGTTCTTGCTCACTCCTCGTTAGCTTCGGGTGCCTCATTTTTACAGTTCGCTACACTAGGTCTTCCCTAAAATGATACGGATGAAATATAAACCACAATGAATGAAAAGTTTTCCTGTTTCACGATTCGCTTGTATTGAAATTCAGCAGTGCGTTTTAAGAATATTCTTAATTACTTTATGACCTCTTTATTAAAATGTTTGTACAGTTTTAGCCTCTCTTGTCTCATGAAGTGGTATTCTTGCTGCTCCACCATCATCATTAACAGCTGTATAATAATAATAATGTATATATTTCTCTCCACAACAACTCTCTTGTGTGTGTGTGTGTGCGCGTGCGTGCGTGCGTGCGTGCGTCGGAATTTTAAGAGTGCAACCTTCTACAAACATCTTTAAGCTCGTTCTAATATTATTAGATTGTTTTTAGTAGTTCCCCCTAAGACGTAATGCAATAGGTAATTACTGATTGTACTAGCGCTAGATATTACATATTTCGCAAGGTTTTGCTGTTAGTGACTTGTCTAAGGTGTTTAAAAATGTAGATGGGTTTCCGAATTCTTTGAGACAAATTTTGAATAATATGTGGGTAGATTATCTAGAATAGAAAGAGAGAGTTACAGTTGCAGGCAGTAGTTGGGGGAAATGAGCATGTGTGGACATATATGTTGTGGTTTAAATAAGAGGAAGACTTGGTGTTCCGAATACAAAAAGTTATATATTTCGTTTTAGCTACATTGAGCGTTAGGGAGTTTGCTGCTTGCCAGTGACTGACTACATTTAAGCCTTGTTGGGCAGATGCGAACATGCCATCCCAGGAGTCACCATAGAATGTAAGTGTTGTGTCATCCGCGTAAGCAATTATTTTACAATTTGGTAATTGGAGTTTACAGATCTCATTTATATAGCATAAAAAGAGGGTTAGGCCAACAATACTACCTTGCGGGACACCATGTGTAATAGAGAGCTCATCACTAAGGTAGTCACCTAGTTTGACACGCTGAGTTCGATTTGTCAGGTATTCCTTCAATAATTTTAACTGCGTTCCTCTAAAGGCAATCTTTGCCACCTTCCCTGTCAGGTTTGGAATTGAGACCGTATCGAAGGCTTTTGCGAGGTCAATGAAAATAGTAATACACTTCTTACCGCTGTCAAGCTTTTTGACTAAAAAATCTGCATGTCTTACTGCTGGGTTCAGATAATTTTACACCACACTAATCTTAGTACCAGCTATTTGTTGTTATTATAATCTGTAATTCGAAATTTGCTAGCTACTGCAAATTTCAATAAATTACTTATGTATAGAAAGAACTACTCTAAAACGGCAACATGAGTAACGTTGGATGTAGATACGAGTTTTCGTATAGAGACGAACAAGTTGTAGGCCTGATGGTAACCGACACGCGTGTCCATAACAACCGCCCTACAGTTCTTTGTGATTTATGGCTCTGAAGTGCCACTCAGATACTGTCACTACGCCCATCACCCTGTAACATAAGTTGACAAGTTCCATATGGCTGTAATT